GAAAACAGCGAGATATTTAGCAGAGAGGACCTGCAAATAATCACCGCCATTAAAGAGAACATAGGAGAAATAGCATGCGAGAAAATCATACACAGCTGCGTCATTAGAGCACTGGAGTACATCGCAAACAATACTGACCTCCTGAGAGAAACAGAGAATGGGTCAAACACCCTGAAGATAAAAAAAGACCTAAGCAACTTTTACGAAGACTACATAGCCAACAGGGATCTGGGGAAGCTCATACAGCAGAGAAAGGACAAAATAACTGAAAAAATAAAAACAAAAACCAAGGCTTTGGGAGAAGAGGAAACGAAGTACTACCAAATAAAAGAAAGTGCAAGCAGGGAGAAGATAGAGGATGCTATCTGCACTATTAACAGTCTAGAAAACGATGTGTATCGGCTAGAGTGCGACAAGAAAAAGGAGTGTCTGCAGCCTGAATACATGCAAAGCCTGCTGAACAGCTTACTTCTGCTGTCTGAAGTGAGCCCGGAACAAGAGAGCTATTTGTTTGAAAAAATAAAAGAATTTGGAAAGGCTATGAGCATAGAAATAGTAGAGCTATCCAAAGAGCATCAGACAGCAAAAGAAAAGGAAAAAGAACCCAAAAAGAGGAGGCTCTTCACTATGAAGGCAATCCACGCGAAAATAGCTAAAACTCTGCTGCTAGCTGCTATTCTTCTGACACCGCCGCTGTTAGTTAATTACTACTGCTCAAATGGCGGGGTGATGGGGGCTGCTGATAACGGCAATCCAGTGAACTGCGAAGAGTCATCATACTACGAGTAATAAACCAGCCGAGAAACACAAATATTTTAGGATATCTTGATCTATTTGATTACAGCTGTTAGCCGGCATCCCAAGTTAAATAAACTACATTTAAGTCTGCGAACTTCTTCATTGCAACTCGTGTGCTGACTATTGGTGCGCATTGAATATGGCGAATAAGCTGCTATATTTGGCGAATGTGTATAGTTGTAAAAAGAAGGAGCACTGCACAGTTAACACTTCTATTTATTTGCTGGTTTCTATGTGCACTATCGCCTATAAAAGGTAATAAAAACATCAAGGATCTCGTTGTGTGCTCCCAGGTTGGACCTGTTCAAGTTTGCGTTTCGAAATACTATAATGTCAGTATTTGCGTGTTTTGGCGTTTTAGCCAGCCGTATAGACAGCGCCTCCTTGAATCTTTCCAGCGCTCTTTCTTCTATGTTTATTTTGCCCCATGCTATTCTCATTGCCTGCAGCCGCTCTTTTTGGGCTGTTTTAGACTCTTCCAGAGTTTTTATGTCATGTCTTGTCTTTTTCAATTTTTCTTCTATTTTACTGATTTCCCCTTTGAGGTATGCTATGCTATTATTTTCTTTGTGCGCCCCCAGAGTTTTTTGATCTTCGAGCAAGGTTTGTATTTTAGGCACCATTCTTTCTGATTTAGTCGTTTTTGTGGTACTTCTGCACAGCCAAAAGCCTTGCAAGCTGCTGTCTTCGTTGTAGCTCCTTGACTCTATCGTTGCAACGAAGGCATCAAAATCTTCTGAGTGTTTTGCGTCCTCAAAGATGTTGCTTGGAATGCAGTGTGTGTACTCATCCACGTCTCCTGGTACTTTTACGTACCATATGGCTCTGACAGTGCTTTTCCTGCGCTTGGATATCTGGCAGTCCATGGCATAGCACTCTGTGCTTTTTACTTTCTCTGGCAGTATGTACAGATTGCTGTAGTATTTGTGCATGTCTGAATACATTGTGTCCTTGTAGGCATCGCTATATGCATACGAGTTAGGCTCTTTTCCATGAAAATCCATTGACTCCAGCTTTTTGTGCTCTCCCTGCTTAGTAAAAGGAGTTAGCTTCACGCCTTTCTCCATCAGAGACGTAAGAAACAGTGGAATAGGAATCACACTTACTCCATGTGGCTCTAGAGGACTAAACTCTGCAAACGTAAACTTTTCCTCTAGGCTGTGCCTGATGTGGTAGAATACTAGCTCGTGCCCCTCCAGCTCTTCCACTGTTTTATTCCTCTCTCCTTCCTCTTTGATGTACGACCACTGTTTGCTCTGTTTGCCCACCTTGAATGGGTGTATAACATCTGAGCTGTCTTCTATTCCATACAGCGTCTTTATGTACGCTACCATGTCGCTAACTCTGTGCAGGTAGTATTTCTTCTTAGTCTCAGGCTCTGTATACATGGGCATGCACAGTCTTCTGGGCTGGCCCATTTTATTGTCCACATAGTACACATGATAGTGTGCATTCACGCTTGGTGCAACACTCCATTTGTTCTCTACAATTGGGGTTTCCAGCTTTTCAACTCTTTTAGCTGGGTTTCTTGTTGCTATGTTTACTGCCATCTCACACTTCATGTACTTCTGGTTTGTTATCACGCCCTTTCCTGCGAGAACATGTTCACTTTTTTTGTCAACTATTTCTGCCTTCTTGTAGAAATCTGCGAGCATTATGTATATATTTCTATACAGCTCAGTAACTAGTGCGTTTCTCACTGTTTCTTTGCTGTATATAGTCCCAAGGGCAGTATACAGCTGATTGTATACACTCATGTCTATCTTTTCTTCATTGTGAAGATGCACCAGTGTCTGTATGCTCGATAGAACCAGATGCTTTTTTCTATCTTCATATATGTTGTCTGAGTTCTTTGTGCATGTGTTCCTTATAAACTCTTCGCTCATCCTGGAAAAGTCTTTATACACCTCTGGCAGCATTACGATCATGTGCATAGCATACGCCAATTTGTGGTACTTCTTGTTTATTTTGCAAATTCTTTTCTGTTTCTCAGCCATGGCATAGTTCATCCCAAGGCACTCGCTCATGTAAATATCACCCAGAGTTTTCTTCCATCTAGTTGGAGGATGGCATGCATCAATGCTCTGCGGCATGTTCTCTTCCATGTATGCTATCATATCATCAAATATACCGTCGTAGTATCCATCGAGCTTTTTTATCATTTCTATGTAGACGCTGTTCTTTTCCTCTTCAAATAGCCTTTTTAGCCCAAAAATATCTTTGCGTTTTATGCGCGGGTCTATATCTTTGCTTGCAATGAGATACCACAGCGCATTCTCCTTTATTTGAGGAGCAATGAGCTGCGAAAATGTAGAAATTTCTGCTTTAAGCTCTGCTTGGTACGACTCGTCTTTCACTGCGCCGATCAGATCATCTTCTGAGTATGTGTATTCACAGAGTGTCTTGTAGCTCAGCTTGTTTCTATGTCTCCCTGCATTTTTCAATCTCATACTGTTCCACAGACTAACATTGAGATATTTTATTTCTGTCTTTAGCGCTATATTTCGAGCTGTATTTGATGGTTGCTGAGGTAAACTTGGCTGTGCACCATCTTCTATCAAGCCTTCTATCTCTCCCTGTAGGTATATATCATCTGTCTCATATAATACATACTCTTCTTGTGGATATATATCAGTTGTTTCATACAATACATACTCTTCCTGTGGATACATATCAGTTGTTTCATACAATACATACTCTTCCCTTCTTCTCTTGTCCTCTCTGAGCTTGTTCATTGGGTTGCTCATTGCACTGGCTGTTCTCTTTTCTCCCCTATGTAAACCAGTGCTATTGTTTTCTTCACTCTTTAATCTCTCGTTATACCTTTCAAGATCTGCTATTTCTTTCTTAGACAGTGAATACTGCTCCATTTCATTAGCATCATCTATATCTGCTAATAGTCCATACGAGGGTGCAGTCTTATCCACATAACTAGGGTCAAAATCTGGGCCCTCTCTTCTACTAGTTACCATCTTTTCATTGTTGGATGTACCTGGTATATCGTACGCTTTATTAGAGCTATGCTTACTTGTACTAGGCGCTGGTGTGTACTGATCATCTATTCTTTGCAAATCTTCAACAGGCTCATATTCATACGAGGGCACTAGAAAATCTGGAACTAGATTAGCATCCGAGTTTTGCATATTCAACATATTGTCTGTCTGATCTAAAGGCTCGTCAAATATGTTTGAGTCTAAAATATCACTCTCTGCCACACCTTGATCAGTATAAGAGTGACCTAGCTCATTTTCCTGCTCTACCACCCCTCTTATCATTGGATCACTGGATTTCTCACCACTGAAACTGTTCCTTCCCCCTCTACACGCTCTAGCGAAAAGAGAAAGAAGCACCACAAATACGCTTATTATTCTCTTCGTTTTACAGCTTTCCATGCAAAAATATCGTTTTTTCTATTTATAGTTGCCAGTTGGGATGGTACCCCTTACCCCATACTCCTGCATACTCTACTGCAATTCTTGGGTTATTCAGATACACTGCATACTCTATCCATTCACAGCTACCACCATTCACCTACTACAAGCTGGCATTTTTTTTAGCTCATGGACTGATTTTATAACAAGTAACTAGCAGACCCACTTCTGTTTAAATTTTATTTTTATTTAATTAATTTAAGGATCTGCTAAACAAATAAATACTAAGCTAATTAAATAGCCTAATAAGACATACAAAGAGATTGTACTCCAACACTAAGCATCCTTCTATAGATTGCGAGAGAAAGAGCCACCTTTATTCAGAAGCTAATTGGATGCTCTTACAAAACTCTACCAATGAAAAGGAATAGAACTACCAATGGTACGCACAGAGCAAGTTTTTAGCTGTTAATTGTTTTGTGCAATTAAAACTTTTGTATCAACCATGGAAGAAAGTGAGTTGAATATAAGCACAGGCGAAATAGTGCCAAACTACTTTGGAAAAGCTACAAAAAAGATCAAACTAAGGATAAATATAGATGGAATAGTGCGGGCAATAAAGTCCATTGATAGTATGGCTGGCCCAGAGGAAGATGCAGCATTTCTAAACGGCAGAACAATAGCTAACCTATCCGCGCTAAAGTATATCCTTGATACGAATTTAAAGATAGAAAGCGTTTGGCACAGCAGTAAAGAAAAAAAAGACATTGCAGATATAGTTAAGAATGTCATCTATCAGTTCCTTGTCTACGAGGATCTTAAAAAAGAGACCATAAGCCTTCTGATATTTGATGGCATGGAGGACACACTAGATGAGGCAATTAAACGCCGAATTATTTCTCTAATTAACAGAATTATAAGGCCAAACACAGTCATAGGATCGTATATTAGGTATGATCTAGATGAAGATGTTGACAACAGCGTAAGTACTATGGTGTACACGCTGGAGCTTGCAGGCGGAAGCTCTCCCTTAAATCTGAAGTATTTGCTCAGATCTACCGCAGAGTCTCTTGACAGAGACATTCTCTGTGATGTGTCTACTTTAGTGTATCCAGCTTACGACTTGGAAAAATACACACCCATACAAAAATACTACAGTGTAGATGATCTGTACATCAAAAAGCATAAAGGTAGCGGCATGGCATTAGTAGACTATGGGCTGAGGTTTATCCACAAGAACTTCCATGAAATCAATGTCTTAACTGAGAAAATAGAGAAAAATATAGCTAGTTCTGATAGCAGTGACTTGCAGGAGATAACTGACGAAGTCAATAAGATATTTAAGTATGAAGAAGACCTGCGAATATTCATCTCCATTAGCAATAATATAAACAAAATTAGAAAAGAGAAGAAAATACACACCTATATGTTCAAGACACTGGAGTACCTGGCAAACAGCACTTCACTTCTCGAAGAAGAAGAAGGGCTAAAGAAATTGAAGGTAAAATCAGATTTGAGTGATTTTGGTGAAAAGTATGTACTTGGCACAGTGCTAAGTAGAATAGTAGACGGAAAAGCAGTTGCACTGTTTAAGGAAATAGAAAGAAATCGTAAGTATCTTGAAGCAGACAAAAAAACATGTAAAGAACTAGAGAATAACTTACAACACTGGATATGGAAAAATCACCCAACTTCGCATAACTATCAGAAAATAAAGGGAAGAATGGCACAGGAGATAGAAAGACTGAAATATGACATTAGCATTCTAAATAATAATGTGTCTTTGCTAGAGTCAAAGCTGGAAAAAGAAAATTTTCAGGCTGTTAACATACAAAGGCTTCTAGAAAACTTGCAGCTCCTATGCGAATTAAATCCAACCCAGAAAAAATACATAGTTAGAAGGCTAAAGGAGTTTGGAAACAAACAGAGCATAGAAGTAGAAGTAGAGGAAGAGAAAGAGAAAGAAGCTCCCATTGCAGTACCTATTGCAATGCCCTATGTGCTGTCCGATGTAGCGGCTGATGTAGTGGATAATGTGCGAGAAGAGAGAAAGCCTTCTTCAACCAGATCCACTTCTAGTGGTATAGCCAAAATAGCTACAGCATTGGGCTGCACTATAGCAGCAGCAGTAGCTGTGTTCTTATTGGCTAGCCATGTAAAGAGCAGAATGAGAATCATTGGTGCTGATTTGCTGTTAGCACATAGAGATGCAGCATGAATTCAATGCATTGGCACATTAACATGTCTTTTTGCAGATAGCTCAGTGCTTTAAATGGCCTCCAAATAAACTCAAAATAAGAAACGAACAGTTACTGTTCTCTCCTCACAAATTGCACAAAACCTCTTCTTATTTCCATTATGTTGAAACTCACTTGGTAAAAGGGAAAACTTTGCTCTTAATTAAGAATAGCCCAAGAAAATGCCCAGAATAGGGTGGGTATACATAGTAAAAAATTTTAATTCTTATGATCCTAAAACGAGCACTGAAAAAGGTAATAGTAGCAGGAGCTGCTGGACTGGCTTATCTGCACATAGCGAGCTGTGAACTGGATAAAGACAATATGAAAAACATATATATCTACTGGAAAAATAGATTATCCTATTTTGAAAAAGAAATTGTCCCACGCATTGGACTCTTTGCAAACTTCAGAGCTTCTAACTCTGAGGCTCTGGCACTGAACTCGGACAATCTCTTCGAGAAAAGTGCCGAGATGGAAAAGGGAATATGCGCTATGGCGCAAGAGCTTGAGACCCTTAAGAAGGAGTCTAGCCAAATTATAGAGCTTTCTAGCTCAATATTCAAGCTATACAAAGATGTTAACAATAGGGGCTCCACCCTTGACAAGGCCCAAAAAGAAACACTTGAGGCTAGAATCAAAGACGGCTCAAAGAGACTGACTGAGATAATCATACCCTCTCTTGACATCAGCACTTCGCTAACCAAGAAAATAAACAACTACGACTTTCACATGGTAGAGGTAATAGAAGAGCGCAGCGGAGTAGAGAAGAGCAGTCTCGACAGGCTAGCTCTCTTCAAGCTGGCAAAGAGCAATAAAATCCTGGCTGCTAATATAATATATGCTCTATCCAGCATAAGCCTATCTCAGCTAGAGAGCGATGCCGTAGAGGAAAAGCTAGTCACTTTAATACACGAAAAAATCGCATCAGATTTTGTTCCAAAGAGCAATGTGGAGCTTTTCGTAAGAGCTGTAAAGAAGGATGTGGTAAAATATAAAAATAACCTATACATTTCAGCAGATACAAATTTCGGTCTGCTATTCAACATACATCCAATGGAGACATCTGACGTGCCCTTGATAGACAGCGAAATAATGAATGTTTACATTAGCCTACTCAAAGAGAACCTTTCTGAAGAAGAAGTAAGCCAGTATGCAGGCATTACATCTCTACACGTTCTAAAGCTGATGGTGATCGAATATATAATGAGCGGGCGCCTTATGGACTACAAGAGCAACACTGTACTCCGCAATCTAAGAAAGGCCATAGAAAATGAATTTGACCCAGTAAAATACAAAATCAATAGTGAAGTAATGTTTGGTAGATTTCAAGACCTAAAACAAGATGAAATACTTAATATTTTAACCTATGTATGGGGTGGTTATACAGGCAACCCCCGTTTAGAGAATATAATTGAAAAAGTATGCAAACGTATTGGTATTAAGCGTAATAACTTTACAGTAATACAGCGTAGCTTTAAGTATGCTAACTGGATGTATGATGCTGCTATGGCACCACTAGCCGGCTCGGATGGCCAGTATTCAGACAGTTTGGGAGTGCCATTTGACATGTCGTATACGCATCCTCTGTGGTATGTATGCATGCGCTACAAGC